CATACATACATACATACATATGCAACCCGATCCTCTTGTAAGTCACCGAATTGAACAGTCGGGCAGCTTGGAGGGCACAGGGCCTTGAGCCGGCACACAGCACGTCCCGCAGGCTTTTCGTCAGCGCACTAATGCGCTGCTCTGCAGTCCTGGTTGCGGAGCCCTGCGCCAAATAATGCACCGCGGACACGCTGTAGCACAGGTCGAAGACGCCAGCTCGAAATGGCAAAGGTTGAGCAAGATCGCAGCGGAGGCGTTCGCCCGACAAAGGCGAAGGCGAGGATGACACCTGCGACTGCGGACGGTTGACTGTAGCGACATGTGCAGATCTGAGACAGCTCGACATTCAATTCATGTCACTCAGGCTTCACCCCTCAGCCTTGGCCACAAAACAAGAGCAGCGTAATGACCTGCCTCCTCCCACTCCGGAGATCTGAGCATTTCCCAGGACAAGTCAACACCGATGGTTCCCAGGGTGTCGGCTCGTACTCGACAGGCCACCGCAGTTGAAAGTCCGCTTCCGCAGCCCAGATCTACCTGCCACGCCAAGTCTCGCGACTGCAACTACAGCAGGATCCCACCCTTATGAAGCTCACTTCGACCCGAAGCACAACTGATGGAATTCTCAAGACCTTGCATCGAATCAGCACACTTCCAAATATTAAAACCCTATAAACTTAATCCACCCCAACGAGTCAGGGATGCGGCCAGCAGACACTCCTGCCCAGGGCAGAGGGATTCACATCTCCTCATCTCGCAGAAGCCTGAACAACTGAAGGACCTGCATGTCTTCCTTGTCTGCCTTTCCAAGAGATGCAGCTATGAGTTGTTCTCATTTCTCACTGACAAGTAGATGCAGCAACAAGAAGCATCAAGATGCAAGGACGAAGACGTACATGAATGCATGTATGACCCGTCCTAAATGAATGAGAGCTTTCCATGACGTTCCCAGCGACACACACTTTCCAGAAATGCATACATGTGTCCATGATTCAGCGAAAGAGCTTTCTCCTGAACAGCCTGCAAGGACAACTTTCGCAAATAAGGCTTAACTTGGAATCATAGTCGTACTTCTGACTGCACCCAATGACAAATTTGTGATAAACACTGAAACCCTGAATGCAGAACACTTCCTGAGTTCTGGTCGTCCTTGGTGTGGTCCACAGGTGGCTCTCCCGTGTGAATGGAGCACAGCTGCAACGCACGTCGAGCCAACGTCTCCTGTCATCCACTCCGCTCTGCTCGAGTTTTTCGAGGTTCGACGTGATTCCTCGTAGTGCTTAGGAGCAGGAGGTGCTAGCAAGGAGTAGCAGTGGTGGTGGTGGTGGTGGTTTGGGATCCGTCAAAGCTACTCGAACGATTCTTTCTCTGTACGATCCTCCCTCCCGGTGTATTCACAGGCTTTCTCCCGCCATTGTGCGCTCTTGTCTACTTTGTGCTGCCATTTCGGGTCAATGCTTGCATACATCGTTGCGTGGTCTGCTTTCTGATTGAATCATGCGTCTATGGACGATGACTCGGACAACGATGACCAAGATGATGATCGTATCGGTGGCAAATGGGGCATCGAATTACATTCATGGATCTATGCAGGCACAGGAGCGGCTCAGCACAAACCGGCTCAAACGCATCTCCTGCGAGCCGCGATTGTGCTCCGTGTAGCCCGCTGCACGCCAAGAGTCGTAGTAACCTTGTTCTGGCTTCATCATCGATGTCAAAAGAAGCCATGTTAACCATCGTCCATTCATCAACAAGGACGTCATCATCATGCTCAAGGCCTTCATCAGCAATGACATCCTGGTCGTCTGTTCACCAGAGTCATCAGCACATGTATCATCAGGCTGGTCTTTCCATTGCCGAGGATGAAAGAAATTCAAGCATTGCACACCAGATTTGAGAATCATGCGTGTCATAGTCATGGGCATCACACCATCGAGCCATCGCCAGCATCAGCATCATCATTGAATCATTGAATCATCATCATCATCATCGTCAGTATCATCATCGTCGTTATCATCATCATGATCATGACCATGATCATGGCTGCCGCAATCGCCTTCTTCATCAGCAGCTACATCAACATATCTTCACCATGTTTATCACGGCTGTCTTGAAGGATGTAGCTGTCCAAGTTGAGGTTGCTGTGGCGCTGCTTTGGCTAAAAGAAGCCTCTGTCAAACAAAGACATCCAAGCAAAAGTCGCCAGAGTGCACACTTGCAAGCTCTGCTACTCAGCTGCCGCTCTAATCGTGACTGCTACTGTATCTGTTGCTGACAGCTTTAGGAAGTCATTGCACACAGAAGCCTGTGGCCTGAGGCAGTCAAGGGGCGATCAGCATCGAAGTTGCTGCGGTCGGTCTCCTTCCAGGCCTGCAAAGCCACTTTGTGACGGTCCAAGCACCGATGCAGAGTATATCTTGACGGATACTTTGGGGCTTTTGGGAATCAGCAAACACACGGCGAACGGTTGGGCCAGATTGGACATATGATCTCTTCCGTCCAACACCCGTGCTTGAAAGCTTCATGAAAAAAAACTTTTTCATGCAGTGTAACGCACGCATGTATCGCCCTCTGGCCTGACGCTTGCAGTCCATAAATACAGAGGTTAGAGGTCTGAAGCCTGGCTCACGGCTAGGGCTCTTTGCAGCGCATTTTTCTGTCTAAGGTGCGTAGTCATACTGTGGTCCGAAAATAAGACCCTTTCAAGGCCACGGTGTAGATTCAACAGAAAACCCTCAGGGACTCATGGTGTTGGCCCACGGTTCAGATGTAGCAAGTACTCATGCCGGCCAGAAGAAACGCCCATAAGATTGGCCACCACTGTCTCTAGCAGGTTGGGCTTTCATCACGGTCCCAAGACTCCTTTGCATCAACCTGTGGGGGGTGAAACAGCTCAACTCAATCAAATACTTCCTGCGAGTAGAAAGATCAATAAGAAGGACGCATGGCCCTCGGAGCATGTGGCATATCCATGTCGTGTCGCCGGAAATAAGCTAGGGCAGTCGTTGCTCCAATTCTGAGCCCTTTGACTTCCTTCCTTGCCTCGATCTGTTGGCGGAGCTCAGCTTGAGTCCTGGTCGGCCACACGTGAACGTGCAGGCTAGCACCGCATTGCGCTTCAATGTGGCGTCTCGACGACGAGCTTAGTTTTGCTCCCATCAAACTTGAAGCGTTACTTAGTCGGATCCGAACGAGTGCACTTTGCAGGACAATGTGATGGTGATTGTGTCTGTAGCAGAAAATTCAGTACCTGGCGAGAGTGAGTCGCTCTCTGCGGTGAAGACTGTCCATCTAAAGCAACACAATGGTGTGCATGATTGCGTCTTAGCCTGTAGTGAGAGCTTGGCGTGGCCATTGCTTCCTCCAGCATCGCCAGGCGACTGCCTGGGACAAGGGAGCTGCCGCAAAAAGAAGTCACGACCACCATCGGACGTTCCACTAAGCACTGGGGGTTCGATTCTTTCTCAAAGTGCCGTGTAAGCTTGATCCATGCACCTCCAAAGCGTGGCTGCTTGCCACGCCGAAGCATTTCCACAACATGCCTGGCAGGATCCGAAGATGCAGTGGGTGAGGCGGAAGGCCACAGTTTAGGTCGAATGCAATCGTCCAAGGTCTCGTTAGGCTCTGCAAGAGCAATCGTGCAGCCTTTGGGTTCGTTCCAAAGACTTGGATGGACACACATGACACCACCACCACCAACATCCATGCCATCGCCAGCGTTTTCTTCGTCGCCATCATGACTACATGCACCATACCCTCGACCTGTCAATTTGAAGTGACAGACCGCTTCAGGTCTAGTTGACGCTGCCTCAGATCAGTGTGCAGGCGAGCCGGGAAAGAACCCAGGTTTCGTTCCTGGCCTCAGAGGTCAAAGTGCAAACACGAACGAGCAGAGGAACAGCTAACAAGAGCAATGACCTGTCGCAACAAGACATTGGCAGAAGATCCACTGTTACCGAAGTAGGGAAGTAAGCAAAACGGTATTCAGTAGTAACTACAGTAATTGCCTGAGGTACCTTCATGGAATTGCCCATGTGTAAGGATAACAAGGCCATACCAAAGGCCATAACGGAGTGCCTGAGTCAAATTAAAACAAGCTGGCGGAGTTGGCCCTGAGGCTACGGGTTTCAACCAATTCTGTTTGCCGACCCATATTTTCGATTGGGTCTTAGCTTACGGCTGGCCTCTGGGACCTCAGGAAGATAGGGTCTCAACAAGAAGTCTCGGGTCGCAGTGTCGATGAGACTGCCGTTTTTCTTGCGCGCCCTTGCTGCTCACCAACACGCAAGTTGATGAACCTGAGTTTTGTCTGACACAGCCGGGCTGTGTGCCAAGTGTGCAGTTTCCCGAACCATCCTGAACCGTCAACAAGAGTATTGACCGGAAACCAACATCATGGACTGCGTACACCGCAGCATACGGCAGAAACGGATTACAAATCAGTAATCATCTTACATCAGATGACAAGTTTGACATGTACATGTCTCGTTTGAGACAACCGCCACTAGCGTGGGCGGTAGCACTCGTAGCTGTCTGCGAACTGCAGACCAGGAAGATGTGGAGGTTCCTGGTAATAAAGTATGACAGAATATAACATAACGCAGCATAAGATAACAATATATCATAATGTATCATGACATAACATAATACCAGTAACACTGTCAACTCTCGGAACCCCGCATTGGACATGAAAATCGGCTGGTTGCACAGCATTGCTGTGCATCCAATGTTGCAGCAAATTCGGCTTGCCCCAGGTCCGGTCTGTACAGGCATAGCAAAGCTGTTCGCCATGCATGTCCTTGCGAAGTTAAAAGCTGCAAGAAACATATGGGGTATACTGGGTGTGCGCACCTTGTCTGCACAATGAAGTCGGCCAACTCGGCTGCCCCTGAGCCCGAGCGAGGCGCTCATGTGCGCAGCTCTTAAACTACTTTGCCGTGGACGAGGTCGTCGACGAAGCTCTGTGAACGTGCCGAGCAATTCCATTCCTCACTGTCAGGTCGAGATGAAACGCGACTCTTTGCCAATGCCGAGTCCTTCTATGCCATCACAGGCAACACGTCCCATACTCACCCTGTCCCCGATACTGGCTGCAGTTTCACAGGATTCACAGCTGTTGCTTCGCTGCTGCCATGTCTCACATGGGCTACGCCACAGACCATGACGATTCTGCCATCGCCTGCGCTGCATGCTTCCCAGGGCTCTGTGTCTGCATCTTTATTTTTGAGATCCCGCGATTGTGTTTGCTTGTGTGCGTGGGTGAGTGGGACAGTGAGAGAGGTTGGGTGACTTGTTGTTGGTGTGATGGGGTGTGGAGCTATAGCTACAAACTTTTGATGAACATCCAGCCAGACGGCTGGACGTGCGAGGGCGTCTTTGGTGCTGATGATATGATAATCCAGCAATGCATCAGCTACTTTGAGTTTGAGAATTGCACAGGGTTCAAGCAGGTCTAGCATTGCCTGTGGGAAGGCCGTACCGTCAAACCCCGGACTTGCATGTTGTTATGGTTGGGGCAGTCCACAACTTCAATCAATGCCGAACGGCATGTCGAGTTCATTGTAAGTTCGCAACATGAAGCGTCCGCGCGGCTCAACATAGGACTCTTGGCTAATGAGCCTTTCTCCTCCACCGCGGTCTTCGCTGCTTCTGCCAATGCCCGGAACAGCTGCTCGTCGCGTGTGGCCGTCAGCAAGAACCTTGCCAGTTCTTTAGACACAGACAAGCACATAATTCAAGTCTCTCGTGATAAATGATCCAGCTTGAGCTTTGAGCTTTCCGACGGCCGGCCGAGGCAGAAAAAAGTCTATCATCTGAGATCGAAACCATTACGATCTTCATGTGAACCTCTTGCTTTGATTGGGCGATTCCAATTCCTGGACCTGAAACCTGCTTAGCAAAAAAAGTCGAAGTCGTACTAGTAGCAGCAGCAGTAGTGGCAGTGGCAGTGGCACAGGCAGTAGCAGTTGCAGCAGAAGCGATAGCGGCAGCAACAGCAGGAGTAGCAGTAGTAGTAG